ATATAGACACACATATATGTATGTGTGTGTAATGAAATATAGTCTAGTGTAATGTTATATCATGTACAACATAACAGTATAATTTATCTTCCTTTCCAAATAAATTTATTTGCAGAGGAAACCGTAAATTGCGTGAGGAATAAAAGGAGCCGCATCAACTCTCCATAACTACCCTGTATTTCATTGCCATTTTATTTCCTCCACTGTGGTGGTGATAAAATAGGTATGATCTCGTTCTTGTCTTCAGGCTACTTACATTCTAATAAGGGATACTGACAAGTAAATAATTAGCCAGAACTTAATGCCCTCTAAAATCCTAAACTAGAAGTACAGCACTGTGTTGGGCAAACATTAATGTGCATGACAATCACCTAGAAGGTTTGTTCAACCACAGATCATCCCCCCTTCCCCCACCGCCCCAGCATTCCAGGTTTTCAGTAAGTCTGTGGTAAGACCCGATAATTTTCCTATCGAACAAGTTTGCTGCTGGTCAGGGACCATACTTTGGGAACCGCTGGGCTATGGAAAACAGAGTAAAAAGAACAGAATGCTGGGATTCTTCTGGATAGCAAAGGATGAGCCAAACGTTGACAGGCAGGGAAGAAAGAGAGGTGCCACAATCAGAGTGGGGCATATCTGAGCACCTGACATGCTGGGGAAGCCGGCTATGAGTGGAGGTCAGAATACATGAACTGAAAGATAGATAAGACTAGGAAGATAGGTCAGGACCAAGTCACGGACGATCTAGGACAGCAACAAAAGAGCTTAAAGTTTATTCCGTGGGCGCTGAGAAGTGATGGAGGACATGGGAGGGTCAAAAAACATTTTTTTAAAGACATGATCCAAATTTTACTTTAGGACAGTATTTGAGGCAGCAGTGAGAAGGATGGTGTGGAGAAGCAAGGGAATGGAAGTCACGGGAGCAGGGGAGAGGCTATCCCAATGATCAAGGAAAATGACCCATAAATAGGGCCATTGCAAGAATATCTGGTGACCTCCACACTTCTGGGAAGCACTAGAAGAGCCCGTGATTAGCTAGTGGCAGAAAAGGAGGGGCATTCATTTATTTAACATACATATATTGAACTCTTCCTGTATTCCAAGCACTGTGCTAGGCACAGAGGAACAGCGATGAAGAAGACAAAGTTCTTACCCTCATGGAGCTCTTGGGCTAGCAGGGAAAACAGACAAGGCAATAAAGAAGGTCAGCAGAGAAGAGAGACTATGGAACAATATGTGTGTGATGTCAGAGCACAGAGTGGAGGCTGGTTGCCTCACCCAGGCTGGGGAATGAAGGAAGGCTTCCTGGAGGAAAACCTACTTAAACCTAAATTCCTCAAGGCCAAAATGCTTAACAGGGCCTGCAAGACTCTACATGATCTGGGCCATCCTTTTATTTTCAGCTTGTTCTAAGTCAATGTCTCTCTTCCTCTTCATGTTCTGGAACCAGATCCCTTTCAATTCTTTTAGCCTCAGGACCTTTGTACATGCTTTTTTCCTTAGCTTAGAATTTTCTTATCTCTCTTACTTAAAGAATAATTGTTCATCCTATGGGGGTCAGCTTAAATATTCTTCCCACAATATTTTCCCTGTGTTTCCAAGATGAAATCAATACCCCCGTTTTACTCCCTGAAATCTTCCTGCATTTCAGCTTATCATTGATCACAATAGTAATTATTTGAGGATTATTTGTTTAATGCCAGTATCCCTTCTTAGATTATAAGGTCTGTCGGACAGGATTATTTCTTTTCATTATTTGTATTCTGAGCAATTAACATAGTATCTGGAATATGATAAATACTCAGCATTTCATTTTGTAAACGAAAACCAAGCACTAAAGAATAAAAAGGAATAGTTGGGCAGAGGGAGTAAGAGGGTAAGGAATAGCAGGTGTGGAGGCTCTGAGGTTGAACAGACCACTACTCAGTGAAGGAACTGAAAGGAGACCAGTATGGTTGGGTTCTAGGTAGACAGAGGTAAGAGATGGGACTGAGGAGGCAGTCCATGGGCAGACACTGAAGGGTTCAAAACTAGGGTATCTCTCACCGGATCTATGTTTTTAAAAGCCTACTCTGCTTTATGGAGAGTAATTTCAGGGGAGCAAGAGTGAATAATGACATCACTGGATGGCTCTTCCCAGAGTCCAAGTGCTAGTAACGTTGGGTAGGGAGGTGGTGGTAGAAAGCGAAACAAGGATACTTAGGCAAGGTATTTAGGAGCTAGCACTGAGGGAGCTCAGTGGTAAATTGAATGTGGCGATAAAGGAGAGGAAAGGTTGTCACAGTTGACATGCAGATTTTTGGTTTGTAGAGATTATCAGCACCATTCACTAAAGGTGGGAACAGTGAAACCCCTGGTCATGTAGAGCTCCTCCTGGCAATGACAGAGTCCTTCTAACTAAGAGCATAGATGCTGAGGCTTCAGGCAAACCTAGAGCCACAGAACTTTAGAGACCACTGGAGGGACTTTAGAGATGAATCCAGAGACCAATCCAGAATATGTGTATGGATATTATTTTTGTATATATATGTAATATATATTTATATGTATATAATATATATTATATATATTATGTATATATCTATTCACATTCAACAAATAAACTAATAAAAATTACTTGAAAAAACAGTTCTGCTGCTAAAAATGCCTGAGCACCACTGCTGTGCCATGGTCCAATGCCCCTACACCTCGGTATATTGGCAGGTGATTGACAATCCCAATCTGGTTAGTGCAGTATATTAATGTGATTATGGATTTCTTTTCTATATCCAGAGGTGGACATTTTTCTTCTAAATCTGAGGTTGGCAAAATTTTTCTGTAAAGGGCCAGACGTAAATACTTTAGGCTTTGTAGATGATCCAGTCTCTGTGGCAACTATCTAACTCGGGCATTGTAACTCAAAAGGAGCCACAGAGAGTGTGTAAACAAATGAACATCACTGTGTTTCAATAAAAGCATATATCTGTGGACACTAAATTTTGAATTTCATGTAATTTTCACATGTCACAAAAAAGTCCTCCTTTTGAGTTTTTCAACCAATTAAAAATGTAAAATCCATTCTTAGGTCACAGACTTTACAGCTACGGTATTTGGCCTATAGATTGGAGTTTGTGGATTTCTAAATGAGGGACTTTTGCCCAGAGACATGGAATCACAAAGTAGAGGTAAAGAAAAGCAAGCTTTCATGCCATGTCCTGGTCTCATGTAATCCAGTGAGGAAAAGGGGAGAAGATCCCTAGCCAAGAAGAGGAATTAGTTTCTCCTGATTCCAAGCAGTTGTGAGCTCCTGAAGCAGAAGTGAAGGGGAATCATTCCATCTTGTCTCCTTGGGAACAGCAGATCTCAGTGGCCCGAAAATGGAATGCCTCAGGCTGCCAGGTACAGTTCTGATTCATATTCTTATTCTTATTCAGGACCCAGGTACATCAAGTGAACCATACATAGTCACTCACCAGTTCTTTTTAGACATAAAGTCAAATGTCAATGACGTTCTTAATTTTCAAGCATAACACTGGTACCTAAATTCAAACCACTGTATTATCATCAGGTTGGGTAAACTAGCCTCATAGAAAAGACATAGGCTTCAGTGACTTCAGGGACAATGTAAAGGTTAAAGAAATGTAGTATCATTATAGTGGCATTTGCTTAATGAACAGCAAGTCGTCTCTAAACTGATTTCCCTGGATCTCCTAGCAAAACCTGTAAACACAAAAGATTGTCTGCAGACTAAGAATATGTACATCATCAGAGCTGGATGTACATATCACCATATATGCACATCAATGCTTTTTTTAAATAACAAAATTATAATTGTATATATATAATTGTTTACCACAAAGTGTTTACCTTCTGGACTATGAACTGCTTAAGGCTAAGGATCTTACTCATCTCTGAATTATCAATATCTACTATAATTACTATCACATAGATGATGCCTAATAAATGTTGTCTGAATGAGTTAATAAAAAGGACAAATATTATTAAAATGGTTAACAGGGGGAAAAAAGCAATGTATGCTTTTCTTCCAAAATACAAAATCTTATCTTAAAATAGACACTGAGAAATACACTTTGTGCATGCACCACTCTATCAGAATACTACTCTGGAGACTATGGAAGTCTGTGATGAAACAAAGGCATAAAATTTCTTGCTTACTTACCTGAGAACCAAGTAGAATTTTCCTCATTGAATACCCCTGGGGAAACACTGCTGGATCTGCTTACTCAACAGCCATTCCCACCCTGCTTCTCTCTTGCCACCTTCTACACACAGGCTGAGAAATGTAAAGACTCAATTTCTTGGTCTCCTCTGTAACAAAGAAGGCCATGTGACCATACTGTGGCCAGTGAGTTGTAACTTGAAGTCTCCCAGTGCTTTCCTGAAAAAAGAGTCTGATAATTGGAACCAACTTTCCTCTTCTTTCTGCTTTGAATATGGGGCAAAAGGAACCAATTTACAACCATGAGGGTAAGGCCAGAAGAATGTCCACACACATTCTGGCATTACTGAACTGCTGAACCACCGCCTGAATCTTTCTACCTCTGGATTTCTTATATGAGAAAAAGTAACTAAATATATTAAACCATGGATAGACAGTAATCTTTGTCTTGCAAATGAACATACTCTTAACTGACAAAAAACCTATTTTGCAAAATAAAAACTCTTAAGCACCAATTAAGTATTTTAATCTCCATATGTTAGAACTCAGTCACTAAATATTATCTTATTACTTTCTGTTCAACTAAAGGTTGTTTGGAGGTCCTTTTTTAAACTTTTGGTCCCCCAGGTCTATAGCTATTTAAACTACGGCCATTCACGGCTCCATTAACTTCTTTGCACTTACTCTGAGCACTAATGTCTCAAAATCTTAGTTTCTTCTACTCATTTCTCTGAAGCACAAATATATTAATATTCTATAATTTTTTCTCTCTTAAATAATGTGGATTCATTTTACTCAAATTTTTTATGACATATTTCCAAAAAGATATAAGGTTACTTACTTCAGAAGACTTATACAGAAGAGTGACTTCAGCCAGATGGCAGACTAGTAAAGTCTACACCTACTCTCCCACAGAAACACCAAAAATACAACAACTTACAGACAAAAGTAGCTTTGTGAGAATTCTAGAACTCAGTTAAAAAGTTGTAGCAAACAAGTGAATGACTAAACAAAGAAAGTCACACCCAAAAGTGTATGAAATTTCAGGGTGTTTCTGCCAATGCTTGCTCCATTTCCTCCCCAGTGCGCTGAGGTTGGCAAATGCCCATTTGCTGGTTCCTCCCTTGGAACAGAAAGAAACAAGTGGAACTTGCTTGTGACATTCTGGCTTGTCTGGGGGATGTCTGGGGGACTAATTTCTGTCTCACCTTTCTAGGACACAGATGGGATGGTGGCATAGTTTGGGATATCAGTTTGGAAGCCTCCAGAAGCAATGGTGGGCACCATGACACATGAGAGCTGCAGGAAGGCTATAGAACTGTGGCCCCCTGGGTCAAGAGATTATGGGCAGAGTAATACAACAGAAATCTAAGTCCTTGAGAAGAAGAGCAGGGGTGAGACTCATAGGAAATTAAGACATCTAAAAGCAAACATATATACAGGGAGATTGGGGAGAAAGCACACACACACACACACACACACACACAGGACTAGGAATGACACATCCTCAGAAAAGGCTTGAGCGGATCTTGAGGCTTCACACTAAACTAATTAATGAAGATTTACCCCTGCACAGACCCAATCCACAAAAACCTAGGGGCTGTTCTTTTCAAATGCCCAATTTTCAATTTTCAACAAAAGATCACAAGGCATACAAAGAAACAGGGAAACATGGCCAACTCAAAAGAAAAGTAATACTCCAGAAATGGAAAATTATCATAGGCCTCAGACTTACTCCACAAAAATTTTAAAATAAATGTCTTAAAAATGCCCAGTGAGCTAAAGGAAAACATGACAGACGAACAACATCAGGAAAATGATAAAGGAACAAAATGAGAATATCAACAAAGAGATAGAAATTATTGAAAAGAGCCAAACAGAAATTCTACAGCTGAAACACATAACAGAATTGAAAAATTCAATAGAAAGTTTCAACAGAAGACTTGGAAAGACAGAAGAAAGAATAAGCAACTGTGAAGACAAGTCATTTGAAATGATCAAGTCTGAGAAGAAAAAAGAATGAGAAAAGTAAAGAGAGTCTAGGGGCTTAAGGACACTGTCAGGTGGACCTACACTAAGACAGTAGTCAGAACAAGAGAAAAAGCTTATCTAAAGAAATAATGATTAGGAAGTCCCCAAATTTGAGGAATAACATAGACACAAAAATACAAAAAGTTCAACAAACTCCAAATAGGAAAATCCAGAGACCACACCAAGGCTCATTATAATCAAACTGTTGAAAGTCAGTTTTGAAAGTATCAAAAGAAAAACAATTCATCATGTACAAAGGATCCTCAATAACATTATCAGTGGATATCTCAGCAGAAACCTTGCGGGCCAGAAGGCAGTAAGATGATATATTTACTGCTAAGAGAAAAAAACTATTGACTGAGAATACTGTCCTTTGAAAATGAGGGAGAAATTAAGACATTGCCAGATAAACAAAAACTGAAGTAGTTCAGTACCACCAGACCTGCCCTACAAGAAATACTAAAGGGAGTCCTTCAGGTTGAAATGAATGGACACTAGACAGTTATTCAGAGCCATACAAAAATATAAAGTTTTTTGATAAAAATAAATACATGGACATGGGGTGCCTGGGGGGGCTCAGCTGGTTGAGCATCTGACTCTTGATTTGGCTCAGGTCATGATTTCAGCTTCCTGAGACTGAGCCCCATATCAGGCTCCATGCTTAGCATGGAGTCTGACTGAGATTCTTTCTCTCCTCTCCCTCTGCCCCTTCCTCCACTCTTTCTCTCTCTCTCTCTCTCCCCCTCCCTCTTTCAAATAAATAAAATCTTTTTAAAAATGTTAAAAATACATGGATAAATATAAATCATGTATATTGTATTTTTGATTCACAGCTCCACTTTTATTCTATTATAGGATTTAAAGACAAAAGCATAAAATATATTATAAATCTATGTTAATGGGCACACAATATATAAAGATGTAATTGGTGACATCAGTCAAAAACAAAGTCAAGTGCAGAGATATAAAGTAGTAGAGTTTTTGCATTTAATTGAACTTGAGTTAGTAAGAGTTTAAAATAAATTATTATAATTTTAGGATGTTTTATGTAATCCCTTGGCAACCAGAAAAAATATCTATAGAACACAAACACACACACACACACACACACACACACACACACACACAAAGAGAACAGAATCAAAATGTGTCACTACAAAAAACCAACAAAATAAAAGGGAACGTAAGTCAGACAGAGAAAGACAAATACTACATTATTTCTCTTATATGTGGAATCTAAAAAATAAAAACAAGTGAACAAACAAACAAAAAGCAAAAACAGACCCATATATACAAAGACGTTGTCAGAGAGGAGGTGTGTAAGAGATGGGCAAATGGATGAAGGGGAGTGGGAGGTACAGGCTTCCAGTTATGGAAGGAATAAGTCACAGGGATAAAAGGCACAGCATAGAGAACTAGCTAATGGTATTCGAATAGCACTGTGACAGATGGTAACTATAGCATAATGTATATAGACTTGTGTATATACCAGTATAGCATAATGTACAGACTTGTCAAATCACTATGTTGTACACCTGAAATGAATGTAATATTGCATGTCAAGTATATTTCAATTAAAAAAAGAAAAATAATCATGATAATAAAATAATATCACTTAGAAAAAAAAGGAAAGCAGTTATGGGGGAAATGAGGGACATAAAGTGATAAGACATATACAGAAAACAAATAACAAAGTGCCAATAGTCTTTCCAGATCAGTAATAATCTAAATGTAAATGGATTTAACTCCCCAAATCAAAAGACATAGATTAGGAAAAGGATTAAAAAAATAGGATTCAACTATATGCTGTTTACAAGAGACTCACTTTAAATTTAGGACATGCATAGGTTGAAAGTAAAAGGATATAAAAAGATATTCCACATAAATGGTAACAAAAATTGGGCAGGAGTGGATGTACTAATATCAGACAAAGACATTAAGTCAAAACCTGTTCTAAGACACAAAGATGGACATTATATAATGATGAAAGTGTCTTTTTACCAAGAAGGAATAAGTTATACAAATATATGCACCAAACATTAGAGCTCCTAAATATATGAAACACACATTGACAAAATTGAAGGGTGAAATAGAAAGCTCTATAATAATAGGAGACCAATAACACATTATGAATAATAGAACAACCGCACAGAAGATCAGTAAGGAAATAGAGAACTTGAACAACATTATAGACCAATTGGACCTAACAGGCATATACAGAACACTTCACCCAACAGCAAGATACATATTTTTCTCAAGTGCATATGGAACAGTCTCCAGATTAGACTATATATTAGGCCACAAAAATGTCTTAATACATTTTAAAAGTTGATTATATAAATGATATTTCCAATTAAAATGCAATGAAAATATATATTAATAACGGATAGAAAACTGGAAAATGCAAGAATATTTTGAAATTAAACAACACACTTTTTTTTAGAGACAGAGAGGGAGAGAGAGCATGAGTAGGGATGGGAGAGGGTTAGGGAGAGAAAGAATCTTAAGGAGGCTTCATCCTCAGCACAGAGCCCAACACAGGGCTTGATCTCATGACCCTGAGATCATGACCTGAGCTGAAATCAAGAGCTGGACACTTAACTGACTGAGCCACTCTAGTGCCCCCAAACAACACACTTTCAAACAACCATTGGGTCATAGTAGCAGTCATAAAAGAATTTAGAAAACTGAGACAAATGAAAATGAAAATATATCAAACTTAGGGATTCAGCAAAAGCAGTGCTAAGTGGGAAATTTGTAGCTGTAAATGCTAATTTAAAAAGAAAGAAGAAAGATCTCAAATCAACAACTTAACTTTACACCTTAAGGAACTGAAAAAGAAGAACAAACCAAACACAAAGAGAGCAGAAGGAAGAAAATAATAAAGATTCAAGGAGAGATAAACAAAATAGAGAATAGAAAACCTATAGAAAAAGATCAGTGAAACCAACAGTTGGTTCATTGAAAATGTAAACAAATTTGACAAGCCTTTAGCTAGATTGACTATGAAAAAAAGAGAAGGCTCAAATAATTAAAATTGTAAATGAAGGAGGGATATTACAAAAGATTTTACAGAAATAAAAAGTATTATAATAGAGTACTATGAACAATTGTACACCAAGAAAATCCCACATGAAATGGACAAATTCCTAGAAACATGAAATGTACCAAGACTAAATCATAAAGAAATAGAAAATCTGAACAGACATAAAACTTTAGGAGATTGAATCAATAATCAAAAACCTTCCAATAAAGAAAAGCGAAGGACCAGAAAACTTCACTTGTGAAGTCCACCAAATATTTAAGGAAGAATTAACAACAATTCTCCTCAAACTCTTCCAAAAAATCGAAGGGGAGGGAATACTTCCAAACTCATTTTATGGTGCCAGCATTACACCACTACCAAATTCCAACAAATACAATGCAAGACAAGAAAACTGCCGACCAATATCCCTGATGAATCTTGCTGCTCAAGAAAATACCGGCAGACAGAATTCAACAACCCTTAAAGGATTATACATCATGATTAAGTGGGATATATTCCTGGAATTCAAGGATGGTTCAGCATTCAAATATCAAACAATGTAATACAACATATTAACAGAATGAAGGGGCAAAAAACAAACAAACAAAAAGCCAAGGCCCCAAAACCATGATCATCTCAATTAATGCAGAAAAAGCATTTGACAAAATTTAACACATTTTCATGATATAAACACTCAACAAACTAGGAATAGAAGGGGACGGCTTCAACATAATAAAGGCCATATGTAAAGGGCCCACAGCTAACAACAGTGGTGAAAGACTGAGAGCTTTCCCTCTGAGATCACGAACTAGACAAGGGACTTGTTTTCATCCTTCCATTCAACATGGTACTGAAAATCTCAGCCAGAGCAATCATTCAAGAAAAAGAAATGAAAGACATCCAAATTGGAAAGGAAGAAGTGAAA